TTCAGGGTTTAGGGTTCGGGGTGTAAGGTTTAGGGTTTTTTTAAAGTGCAGTGACCTTTTTGGGTTCTGGATTTAGCGTTTAGGGTTTAGGGTTTAGGGCTTTGGGTTTCGGGTTTCTCAGGCTTCGAGAACCTCATAACATAGGGGCCTGATGAATTAGAATAGGGTTTTGGGGTCCTTTATAGTTTAATCATAATAAGGAACCTCCAAAATAATATAGGTAGTTATTAAGTCCCCTATATTACAGTCTTAGAACCAAAACTTTCAAAACCGTTTAGGGTTCAGTGTTAAAGGTTTAGGGTTCTAAAAAACGTACCGTCGACATCAAAGATCAGAATCCGTAGGCCCTAAACCCTAAACCCTAAACCCTAAACCCTAGGCCCTAAACCCTAAACCCTAAAGCCCTGGCCCTACATGTTCAAACAGCTCCAGGCCACCTTGAAGATGGTCGTGAAAGACTCTCCTGAGCTGGGGGGTTTAGGGTTTAGGGTTTAGGGTTTAGGGTTTAGGGTTTAGGGTTTAGGGTAACTCCCGCTCAGGGACGCAACCCTAAACCCTAAACCCTAAACCGGCCATGTTCGGTAGATTGGGGGCTCTTGGGTTGCCTTGGGGTCTGGAGCTTTGCCTAAGTTAGAAGGGAATTGGGGCAGGGGAGAAACCAAAACCCTAAACCCTAAACCCTAAACCCTAAACCCTAAACCCAACCAAAAGAATGATAAACCCAGGAGTCCCCTCAGAAACGTATAGGATGTGGGTAACTGCCGCTCTTGCCGTGCCGCGCAGATCTTGAGCCGCGAACCGTGGTTTCGCCACAGAGGCTTAGAGTTCAGGGTTTAGGGTCTAGGTGTTCAGTTCCAGAGAGTTGGGGAGTTCTCGGCGGTTCAGGTGTCACTCAAAGTAGATCTGCGCGCTGATACATAGGGGCCGTAATAATTAGGACAGGGTTTTGGGGTATATTGTACTATAATCTTAATAAGGAACCCCAAAGTAGTATAGGTGCTTATTTAGGCTCCTACATTAAGCCCTAAGTCCACACACGCGCGTATCAGGCCATGTGCTTTTCTTCATTTTT